ATATAGCTGATATGAAGCATCCTACATTCAAACCCAAAGCTGTCTGACTTCAGATTTCTCCTATCCAATTTCCCCAAATCTCCACTTAATGCAACGCAGCCTTAGAAGGTAAAAATATGATTACATTAATGCTTGTTTAAGTGTTCTTTTGAAATTACGCAGGACTTTAGAGGTTTTTCAGTGGCCATGGTTCATCCCACTATCTATGGTGTCACGATAGTCTTCTGCTGATGTTAAGAAAATTATTCTTTTCTCAAGGTAGCTTAGTTTACTCAAGGTACTTTGAGTGTCTTAACAGTTTCTCAACGTCTTTCATCTTCCCTATGGAAGGAAGATAGCTAAAGATGCCATCAGGGTGCTAAAAGTAGCCCATATTTATTGAGAACATGCCTCAGGGGTATTTTAAACAAAATAAGCTCATAACTGGATTTTTCATGAGTAGAATCTAGGTTAAGAAGCTTGGCGGGCTAGTCTGTATAGACTGATATTAACTTTTTCATTAAATAGGGCAGTCTGAATTACTGTTTCAGAATTTGATGATAGATGAAGAAGCAATACAGAAGTGACACCATCCTACATTTGTAGTAGTGACATGATCAAATGTTTTTCCTTTGTAATGTTAAAGTAATGGGCAGCCTAAAGAGAAGAGAAAGATATTTTTTCCTCTGTGTGTGTGTGTGTGTGTGTGTGTGTGTGTGTGTGTGTGTATTTCCTTAAGTATGTTGGCTGTGGATAGAATCCAAAAGAAGCTGAAATCAAAACTGAGTTCTAAGTTAAGAAAAGTGAACACAGTGAACATCCCCAGAAGATTGGTCTAGAACAGAAAACAAAGACCATGTCAACTCGATGAAGTTTCAGCTTCTGAACAAGGGACAGAGATACAATCATTTCATTGGGGAATAAAATATTATCCCATTGTCTTAGGAATCACCAAGTGGCAGCATGTTCTATTAACATATTTTACTAATATGAAAGTTGCAACTGAAAGTTCAAAAACTATGTGTTGAAGAACAGATTCCAGGGATGCGCCAGGCATCTGTCCCATTCGGTGAACAGGCCTTGGAACAGATGTCTCAAATTTCTTCAAATCCAGACATGCTGTCCAATTTTTTTTAGTGGTAAACATACTTTTTTTCCTTTTTTGTCACCGTTCACCAAAGCATTATATTTAATGCATAAAATATGTAAATTCTTAAAGCATCATTTTGCTCTTTAGTGAGTTTAGATATTACAAAACGGTTTAATTATAAAAACAGACAGACCTAGTCCTGGGACCTGTGCAGCTAGAAATAAATGTGCAATCAAAACTGCAATTACCTGCAGAATTTAGTGTAAACAGATCAGCAATCACATAACAAACACAGGCTAGTTTGCATTCTGATATGAATACAGTTAGATCCAAAGCAATTTTCCTTTATTTATCTTAGCTGCTCAGCATAAATAAAGCAAGGGCATTGAAGCAATTAGCATAATTAGAGTATCGTGGTCAGGCCCTGTGTGATTTCAAGAGACGTTTCACTTTAGAATTCTTTTTCCCACACAAGAGTTTCCCTGAGCCACTAAAATATCGCTTTGGGCATTTTTGTATTTCAAATTTGCAAGTTGTCAGTTTGAAAAACCCTTGACACATGGATGTGAAAGCATCTCACAGACAGCCACAGAAGGTATACCCTCAGCTTTTCATTACTAAGAAGCTGGGGAATTTCCTTTTTCAGCTCTTTCTCCTACTTGACGTTTAACCCTAGAAATGTCAGTCTTAATTATTTCCATTGCCTTCAAATTGGATCCAAGGGTTAAAGACAATTTGTTCCCCCCAAAATAAATACATAAAAATAGGGATTGGGAGGATGGGGGAAGGAGAGGATATATCATGGTGGTAGCTGAGCTGTTGCTAAAAAAAATCAAAGGCTCTGGCAACCAGCTTGCTACTGGTGATCAGACTTTCTTTTGGTAGCTCCAAATAAGAAGGTGGAGATCAGAGTTGGGTGACCAGCCACAAGTGGTTTTTGTTTTTGTTGTTGTTTTTGTTTTGTGGGATTCTCTGCTGCAAGTATAGGAAATATTCTTTCTATGGGAAAACGGTAACTAGTAGATGATGATTAAATTGCTCCATTAAAAACACAAACAGAAGAAGAGGGTTCATTTGTTTTGTTTTCTTCTTATATGCATTTGAAGACGTTTCAAAGGACTGCACTTTGGTTAGAAGGAGAAGGGGACTGACCTTGGACCAAGACTTTGAACTCATTCAAAGGAAGTTTTGAATCTTAAAGTGGGTTACATTTTCTTTTTTAAAAATGTTTAATAAGCATACAGTAAAATTGACTATGTGTGCAGTTCCATATAGTTTAACTTATTTAAATTCATGTAGCCACCACCACAATCTGGATACAGAAAAATGCCATCATCCCATAAATCTCCCTTGTGCCAGTCCTTCATATCACCCTACTCTAATCCCTGGTGGCCTCTGATTTGTTCTCTTTCCCTACAGTTTTGTCTTCATGAGAATGTCATATAAATGACATCATGTTATATGTAGGCTTTACAGGTTGGCCTCTTTCATTTCCCATAATACACTTGAGGTTCACATCCAAAATTCCTTTTTATTGCTAAGTGATGTTCAAATCACTTACAACCACATCTTAACCACAGTTTCTCCATTCATCAACCATTGAAGGACATTTGGGTTGATGCAATATTTTGGTACTGATGAATAGAGTTGCTATAAATATTTGTGCACAAATTGTTATGCAAACGTAGGTTTACATTTCTCTAGGATAAATACTAGGAGTAGGATTTCTGAGTCACATGGTAAATGTATATTTAACTTTCTAAGAAACTGCCAAACTGTTTGCCAGAGAGGCTGTACCATTTTGCATTCCCACCAACAGTGTTGTTCTGCTTCATTGTCAGCACTTGAGATTGTCAGTGTTTGGTTTTTAATTTTAGCCATTCTAATAGGTGTGTAGTGGTATCTCATCATGACTTTAATTTGCATTTTGCAAATGGTTAGTGATCTTTAACTGTACTTACTTGCCATTTGAATGAAGTGTTGGCTGCTCGAGATGCTTGCATATTTTAATTGGGCTGTTTGCTTCATTCACTTATTTAATTTATCTTTGAAAGTGTTAGCAAATCTCAGCTATGTATCCAGATCGCAATTATCTTTGCTAATGCAGACTCACTCGGAGACACAGAGTGGCCAATACAAATTATAAGTGAAATTCAGTTCACACCAACAAATCCAGGCTACAAGGACTAATAAAAATGAAAATCACTGTACAGTAAGTCAGCTCCATTATTGAATTTCTGATCTTTCGGTCCTTTTTAAAGTTCAGTTCTTTTTTAAAGAAATCCCAGGCCCAGTCTCCTTTTTTTCTCTCTGTTCTTTCTTGAGCTTCTGCCCCAACTGTAGCCAACCTTTGCTATTAACTGCAGGTTGAACATTCTTTGCTTTCTGAGAAAGTGTGCAACCTCTTTCAGGTTCCCTCCAGAGCTGCTGTGTTGGGTTTGAGGAAGCACTGGTGAATTGGAGACAACAGATTCTTGGGTTGGGGCAGACACTGTGCTGGTACTTACCTGAGTCACTTCACTTCACTCTGTAAGAACAGGTTTTAGCTCTATTTTATAAATTAAAAAGCCCCAGAGAAATAGATGACTTGCCCAGCTCATAGGGCTCATATGACTGAACCTAGGATTTGAACCCAGGCATCTCTTACTCTGGAAATTATCTCTTTCTGTGCAGCTGCTTAGTAACCAGGATCTAAGATAAAGGAAGTAATTGCGTGTGAGCCTTAGGTCCCTACTATTCACAGCCCTGATAATGATATATAAAAAATAGGTATTATTCTTCCCTTTCCCTTTGAAAATTCTTTTCCTGTAGTCCAGTAAATTGTCCCTTCCTAAAAGCAGAGTAATAAGATTTATTCATTCTGCTTCAAGGAAGAAAGTAGTAGCCTTTGCCTGTCTGAGCTGGCTCCCAAGTTTTATTAGTCTATCATCCTAGAAAACCATACATACACTTTAAAGTGAACTTTTAAAAAATGATAATGAATTTTTAAAAAAGCAGATTGCACAAAAGTTGTTTTCAAGCTGAACCTTGGATATGCTTTAAACTACATTCTTTAATTTTTAGGTCAAGAGTTAAAGAACTAAACATAATGACTATAACTGTAAACAATAGAAATAATAGAGGAGAATGTTTTTATTTTCACATGGCGGAGAAGAACTTCTTATTAAAGGAAACTCAGAAATCATAAAAGACTAACAGAGGTGGTTACTGTGTGTGTGTGTGTGTGTGTGTGTGTGTGTGTGTGTGTGTGTGTGTGTGTGTGTGTGTGTTAGAGTCTCACTCTGTTACCCAGGCTGGAGTGTAGTAGCACTCAACCTGCTGGGCTCAGATGATCCTTCTTCCTCAGCCTTCCAAGTAACTGAAGCTACAGGCATGTGCCACCACGCCCAGCTAATTTTTTTTTTTTTAATTTATTGTAGAGATGAGGTCTCACCAAGTTGTCCAGGCTGGTCTCAAATCCCTGGGCTCAGGCAGTCCTCTCACCTTGGCCTCCCAAAGTGCTGGGATTACAGGCTTGAGCCACCACACCTGGCCTACTTTAAAATTTTTAACTATGTATGGCAAGTGACACCATAAAGTTAAAAGACAAATTACAAGTCTATAGAACATATTTACGACACATAAAGCATCACTATCTATATAAAGAAATCCAAAATCCATTAAGAAGAAGACAAACATTCCATAGTCAAACGGTACGAATGGGAATGTCACCAAAGTAATAGAAATGGTCAATCGATTCATGAAAAGACTTCAGATTAACAGCAGTGAGAGAACAACAATCTGCCGCACAAATTGGCCAAGGTTGAAAGACTGATGGCATCAAATATTGGTGAGAATGTGGAGAAACTGACATTCCCATTTTCTATTGATGGGAGAGCATAATTCTAACATCTTATTGAAAGCAATGTGGCAAAAAAGGGTAATTTGTCAGCATCTATTAGAAGTAATCAAGTAATTCCATTTTAATGACATTATGCTCCAGAAAGTTTAAAGCATATCCACTGCAGTATTGTTAATAATTGTCCCAAATTTTGAAACCACTTCCAATAAGGGAATGATAAAATATTTTGTAGAATACCATATTATTTAGAAAAAAAAATCCTGTGTGATGATGACGTGAAAAGACATCCAAGATCTATTTTTTATTTTTATTTTTTCAAGTTGTATTTTTAAAAAGTTACAGAATTTATATGTATGCTATCACATATATGTATATATGAGATAAATATTTAAATATATGAGAAATGGGCATGTATTTCTATGTTATTTTGCCCCATGCAATAATGTGCATTATGCTTTTTTAAAAAGTAATGCTCTTTACCTTAAAAATGTTATCAAATCTTTTTGTAATTTTATTTAGTTAGCTAGACACTGTGACAAGAATATTTGTTTATTTCATTTTATTCAATATTATAATCTAATATAAAATCTACAGGGAGGATTTATGGCCTTCCTGCTGACTATTATTGGCCAGTATAACCAAATTAATAGGAACACTTGCAAATTTCTGCTATGTGTGGTACTTGCTGTTTCACAGAGCAGTAGAAAATATTCCTTAGGTCAATCCTATTTCTATGTTCCAACCATGGTATGCTGACAGTGTCAGACAAAGCAACAGCTAGAGAGACAGTTAACACTAACTTCAGAATGGGCCAGATTTTTACATTGTCCTGGAACCCATCCTGAAAACGATAGTCTATTTCTTTAGATTGGGAGTCAGGCTTTGGTGACCAAGCCCCTGTACTAGAACAGTTGCTAGGAGATGGGTACTGTAGAAGCATGTAAAGAAGTTGGGAGTGTGAGTAGGATACAGGTTTGAGTGGACACGTATTTCCAGTTCATGGAAATGGCTTCTTACCTGTCATGTTCTAAGTGAAGTTCACAATGGTATATGATGAGAAAGTGTCTGCTACCTCCTTTGAATGTATAGTTGGAATCTTTTGTAAGTTTCTTCTTCATACAACCTTATGTAGTGATTTAATCTCCTTTTCCCCTACAAGTCTAGTACATATTATTTCTTTTTGAAAATAAACAAATAAAAAGTGCCTGAAGTTTCCACCATGATACAGTGTGAACTCTGATGAGACTTTGGAGGTGCCCAGTGTCAGCTGTGTAACACTCTAACCTGTGAGTCCTCTGGGCTCACAGAAGTGAGTCCTCTGGGCTCACAGGAATCTGCTATGTCATTGCCAGTGGAATTGGAACACCTAAGCTCTTAAGAAAGTTCTCCTTCCAGGAAATTTACTGTGTCTATTTTAAAGCCACAGACATACTACTCATCAAAAGAGGAAGCTATTAGCAAGGTACAGTAGCAATAGAACTTGCCATTATTCTCAGAAGATTCAAAGCTTTTGAAAAGAACACAAAGAGCAAAATATTATTCCCATATTCTCTGTCTTTATAGAGATGCTGCTTGAGCAAAACCAAGTTGCAGTTTTTACTCAAATTCTATAATAGAATTTATTTATTTCTGTAATAAAAAGTACATATACAAATGATCACTTACACATTTATGAAAGGAAATCTGGATGGGACTACATAGTAATTTTGAAATTTCTCTTTTCACTATCATTCTAGAACAGTGTCCTTAGGTTCCTGACTTTCTCGATGGGCTCAGAATTTATTTGACTAAAGACTAGTATGAAGTTGAGTGTTATAAGAAGCAGTAAAAAGGATGCTTGAGTACAACTGCTGTAAGAAGAGTCATGGAGCGATGCAAACCTGGCAAACCTTTTGGTTGAATAACTTCTTTAACAGTCTGCAGAGTAGAATCCTGTGGAGTGTCTTTTTAAATTGTGCAATTATAAGCTGTAGATTTCATGAGAACACAGAGTATCTATCTAGTTTATCATCGTCAGCACTTAGCACCTAGGTTAGTACCCAACACATAGTAGATGCTCAATAGATACTTAATGAGTAAATTAACATGTCCATCAGAACAGTAATATACTTTATGCCTGGATTATGGGTGATTTTTGTTTTCCTATTTTTACTTATTTACATTTTTTGAATTTTCTACAACGAACATGAATTGCTCTTAAAAATTTTTTATCAAATCATTTTGCCAGTATTGAAGGGTCCTTGGAACCCACTTAAATTTTTGAACTTCTTAATAGTTTTGTCAGTATTAAATCATCTGTCTTTTATTTATTGAAAAAATCTGCTTGTTTAGAACAGACAGTTTGGGGATATTTTTCCATCAGCACTGATGGGTGGAGACTGACCCAACACACTCCCTGCCCTATTCCTCTGTGACCGAAAGTGCTATATATTTATGGGCCATTGGTCAGGATCAGAAATGCTCTCTTTGGCCATTGAACAGAGTGGAACTGCTGGAGTGAGGCCTCAGGCTTTTGACCTTGGCCTCAATACGCAAGTTCTGTAAGCAGCTGAGCTAACCTCTGCTAGTGCTAATAGGAGTTTGTAATTAGATCTGAGGTGAACAGAACTAACTATTCAGCTTCAGCTCTCTACTGCTACTCCACAGCAATCATTGGACCTTAAGATATAGATAGAGATATTGATTCATAAATATGTAAAGTGGATAGGAGGATACATCTCTGTTGAGGATATAATATTAACTTCCTATTGTAACTTTTTTAAAGCTTCAATTATAGGTTCAACAAAGCTGCAGTTTATTACTTATTAAAAACTTTAGTTTAAATTGTTATTTTAAAAGATCTTTATTTTCTATATGGAATAAGATACTAATCATAAACAGTAGAAGAATAGAGTCATAATTTATGAGTGTGTCGAGTGCTAGATTGTATTTTTTTTCCAATGAAATGCAGAGATAGAGAAATATTATCATGATTTGTGTTATAACACTGGAGTCAGAACTAATACCAAGGAGTGTTTCCTCAACTTGATGCATGGGCTTTAGCTATGCAGTTCCCATCAGCACTAATGGGATATTCAAGGCTAAAGCACCAAGGATAAAACTGAGACTATAGTGCAAGGTTTGGAGATGCTATCTATTTGGAAACTGGTTTTCATTGTTATTTTATGTGCTGTTTTATGCCGTTAGACTTTGAAAATTCTACTTTCAGATATGGTAAAAGATAACATTTCCTAATAAATAAAAAATGTAGCCAAGTTTATCTATCTTTACCAATAAAATGATATACTAGATGAGAATCCCAACTGAAAGGCCCAAAGGTTTGACTAAGATATTGGATATGTGTTGCTCACACAACATCTAGAAAATTCAGTTACCCATCTATTTGAAAAAGAAATTGGTGTACGTTTTCCTGACTGTCTATTCAATTACCAGTCCGTTTTTTCCTGAAATATTTTCATACATCAGTGGTACAGCTATATTATGAAAAACAATGAAATCCCTAGAACTATTTCACATGTCCATAATGAGCATGAATTGGAAATTAATATATCTGACAGGAATAGTGAGTACATATGATGGTGTGTATCTTCCCCCTCCACATAGACAATGTATCAGTTCCCCTGGAAGGAAAATTTAATCTTCTGTGGCTAAAATAAATGAACATTTATGTCTCCTGCTTGCTTAAGATCAATAAATGAGTATATTTTGCCTACTTTAGTACTTCTGTTCTATGTTTAATAGTTGTGTATTTAACTGATGGCAGCTGCCCTAATGTAGGGCACATTAGAATGTGCCAACCAATTCACTTTCAAGGATTAAAATTAAACAAATCAGTGTTTCTCTTTGATATGTTCAAACAAGAAGAATCTCCTAGGGTGTACTATTGTTCATAGTAAAGTGGTAAACAGAGGTTTCAACACAGGCATAAACTTTTAATTGACTGATTGTTTGAGAATACGGCTAGTTCGTAGATTAATGGACATTAATTGGAATTGTAGTTTCTTCATATTCAAACCAGAGCCTCTCTGAATATTAAATCTATATGCCAATGAGATCATCAACCTTAATTTACATTTTCACTTTGGGAGAGCCATCATAAGCGATGATAATGATGCTAAATGACCAAGTAGTTGAAAACTAAGCATAAAGGATTATTCACTAATGCCTCAAATATACCCAACCCCCTAAACCTTCACTGTGAAGCCACTGTTGCCAGAAGAGTAGGGACCTACCTGACACTGGACAGGAAGAGCTGTGACCTCATGAGTAATTCCAGATGCCCATGCCTGGGAGAGTTCTCTATCAAGAGGTGAGCCTCTATGGAGAAGAAGAAAAACTAAGGGTGTATGTGCCTTATGAAGTACAGAGCACTGCTAGGTCTGAGGTAGCAACTGGAGTCTTGAACTGGCCTCATCTCAGTCAGGTGGTTAATGCAGCTTCTAATTATGATAATTTTTTGAGTCGAAGTCTCACTCCATCGCCCAGACTGGAGTGCAGTAGCATGCTCACGGCCACCCCAGCTTCCACCTACTGGGCTCAGGTGATCCTTCTGCCTCAGCCTTCCAAGTAGTCGGAACTACAGGCGTGTGCTACTATGCCCTGCTAATTTTTTGGTTTATTGTAGAGATGGAGTCTCGCCAAGTTGCCCAGGCTGATCTCGAATCCATGGGCTCAGGCAGTCCTCTCACCTCCACCTCCCAAAGTGCTGGGACTACAAGCTTGAGCCACCGCACCCAGCCAGCTTCTGATTATTAGCTGAACTTTAGGCTTCCCTGCTCCATGACTTAGCATCAGGTTGTGATGGCATGGGCCATGAACCTGTGCCAACCACTTTATATTTGAACACCAGTTCATGAATGAATGAATCTCTTTTGTGTTATTTTGGACAATCAGAGAAAAAATTCTTACCATTATGCATGTAGGTAGTGCCATTGGCCATATCTCACTCTGTCCTCTACTAAGGACCCTAGATATTAGACCCAAGCAAGGCTTGTAGCCCTGTGTTCTGAAAAGGCCTGCTGGAATGGCCACCCACATAGAAACACCAGAAAACTAATCATGTAAAACCAAATGACTCTTGAGAAGCTCACTTTGCTCAGAGG